ATCTCTTATCAATATAACCCAGTGTTTCCCAATTTTATATGATATATAACATGCGATCACACCACTGACTGACACTGTGCACATTGCTGAGTAGTGACATCATCGTCCCCACTCTCTGGCTAAGCTGGCATTACACAGGGACACTTATCATGGCAAACATAAATGAAAATGGTTTTTAATAAATTCTTAAATATTAATTATTTCTTAATCATAAAATGTTATTGTAATGGAATTTTCTCACAGAACCCTTATTTTCACTTCGCAGAACCCCGGGGTTCTGCAGAACACCAATTGGGAAACACTGCTCTAACCTCTTTCTTGTTGACAATCACCTCTCACTAGGACTGACAGTGAATTAGGGAACATGTCTTGCAAGGAGTCTTGTATTTTTCAAATACAAGAACTGTATAGATAGCACCTGAATTTTCACCCTGTTCTGTTTTCCGTTCCACATCAACCAGGAGATCAAAATAGGATTTAAGTACTGCAAAGCACTTATGTTTAGAATAAAATTTGACAGGTTTATTTTCAACTGGGGAGTATATATTTAAGGATAGTTTGAGCCCAGTTGGTTTAATCTTTCTTAAGAACAATGGCTCAAACCAGGGCTCAACATGCAGAGGGAGGAGAAGAAGGCTCCTGCATCAGTGTGCGTATTATGTAGTACAGATTGTTGGGATGTGGTGTAGCACATATTTACACATGATGGAATTTGTTTCTAATTTTCATTTTTTAAAACACAGGAAATTCCAGGGAAAATCTATATTAAAAGAATGTTTACATTGCAAAATGAAGCACTCAAAACGGAGTGGCCCTCTTTTGCACATACATTATTGTTCTTTGTAGTAATGGTTACTAACGTACCATTTTGGTAATTCTGAGTGCTTCATTTTACAACCTTGTTCTTTTAGGACAAATTAGTAAACCTATTTAAGGGTCAACTCTAGCATAGCAAAGTTCCCGATGATGGTCAGCACATCGTTGTGTTGTCCTTGCAATAGATCAGGAAGCATATTATGGCTGAGATTTATAATCTGCCTATTGGTTTATCTCGGTCTTTTACCTGACACAAGTACATGATCTGCATGGCAGTGCAAATGCATAAGGGTTGGTTACCACAGATTTCCTACTCTCTCCCTGATCACCATTCTGGGTTGGGAATATAGTGGCCCCTCCCTCTTGGCCATGTCCCTGGCATAAGTAACCCTAACATTCCAATCATGCGAATCATCCCACAGGTTTCAGTAATACCAGTTGAGTCAAATTTCTTCTCACAAGCCTTTCTAATTCCTATTGTAAATTCAGGTTTCTAGCACTGGCACATAGGCAAAGAACTTCTGGCTTCTCTTCCTTGTCATCTTGATTTAATTTGCTTGTGACACCTCCCATTTGATACACTATGTCCCCTTTACGCCCACCCTTGCTGTAGTTTAATGCCTTCCAGACTAGTCTATCGAGGCTGTCACCCAGAGGATTTATTCCCCTACTACTGAGATTGAGACTGTCCAAAGCGTACAACTCCTTCCCATAAAAGGTATCCCATTGTTCCATGAAACCAAACCCCCTAGTTTATATCATTTATATATAGATCCCACTGTAGACAATGGGACTTAAAGAAGTAAGGTTAGTAGCCTGCAGAGGCAATGAGGGGGAAGGACATGGTAGGTCACTTATGCCCCAGACTTGCTGCTTGGCTTGTACTGAGACATGCTTGCATAGCTTGAGCATGCTCAGTAATACAACTGAAACATCTGCTTTCACTCTGCACATCCCTGCCCCCACATCAGCAGGCACAAATCATCTCTGTTAGTGGGAATTCTGCTAAGATCTCAGAGCAGTGCATCACTTTACATGTCATGGGATCAAATCCTTCCCTTCTCTGTGTATGTACAACTGTTGTTCAATTCAGTGGGAGCTGTTTGTATACAACTGAGGTCAAAATTTGCCCCAATAGCAAAGATCATTATAATTAAAGGCAGAATGAATTCAAATTATTTATATTTTCCTTTACCAAATGAAATCAGACCATCAATATTATTTGTATAAATAGGAATATATTTTAAAACAATGGGGGGGGGGGAGATTAATCCCTTTAGCATGGAATGAGATCCATTGATCCATAACGCACTGAAATAAACTGTTCCCCTCTTTTTATTGCCATCAGAGCAGTTCCAGACTTTTTGCCAGAAATTTACAAACTGTTCTTACTACTGACACATTCCATTTGGCTAGGATTTGTACAGTAAAACACTACTACACATTAGTATTCTCACTGCACAAGCATCTTGGCAAATGGAATAATTTATCAGTATGTACTAAACATACTACATAGCCCACTTCTTGAATTTGGACTTCTTTTCATGAAGGCACAAAGTCCTTGCTCAATGTTGATATCCTAATTGCTTGGCTGGGCCCATTGTAATGTGCATATAGTAAAATCTCCATAAAAGATTACTTTTATTAAAATATGATCTTTATTAAGCTACCTCTTGTCTTAAAAGACCGTTCCAAAGAATTCCCAAATGTACTATGCACAATTCCACTCCACCTGTTAGAAATCCACCTGTGTCAAACCACCATTTTTTGTCTATCCCCTATGTGTGGTTACTTAAGACAGATGTTTGGTTAATAACAAAAACCTTCTACAAACCATGGGTTTCATATACTGTTATACAATATCTACACTAGGGAAAGCTGAATTAACCATATGAAAAAATTCGATCAATAAAATTAAAAAAAATATATCAAATGGATGGTTGGTCAACAGGACTGTCTAATATCAGTTTGAATGATAAAGTTATTAGTTTCATCAATTGTCTGAAATGGCTGTATTTTTTTTACTCTGTCCAGCAAGTGTCACAATCAATGGTACAATCTATGCTTTTGAAAATTGTATGTATCCCTTTATATTTTGGAACATGGCTTGATACCTGCTTTCTCTGTCAAGGCCTCATCAAAGACACACTGAAGTCAGTGGAACCATTCCTATTGGCTTGAGTGAGCTCACACAACTGCAATCACTTAATAGAACTGAAACTAAGCAATTAATGCCTTTTGATTACTCTTTGAAATTTGTGGGACAAGATAATAAAAGTTGTTATTCTAATCAAGATAATAAATATCATTGCATTGTGATACAGGCCATCCTCTCTAGAAGTCCAAGATACATTCCAAAAAACTTGGATTTTTAGTTTTTTCCCCATGGCTGACTTCCATTTGTGCAAATTGGTTTTTTTTTTGCACAACTTAAGAGGGGGGAATGGGAGGACTTATAATGTATCAGTTCCTACAAGCGTCAATGACTTCAGTGTGGAATGGATGTATACCAGGGCGCTTTATAGCAGGGGCGCTCTGTAGAAAAGAATAGCCAATAACTAGAGTTGGATGTAAAATGGGATTTCTGTTCAGTGGGAAAGTCTAACATTTCAATATTTGTTTTCATTCTGCATCAGAACAAAAAGTCAAAATGTTGACATTTTTCTTGGAACACAAATTCCAAACAGTTTTGATTATAAAAACATCAGAACGTTTTGTTTTGATAATGTTGAATTATTTCATTTTGACAGCATGCTAATATATTGTTTGGAAAAGGTCAAAACATTATAATGGAATACAGGTTGCAGCTCCCAAATCCAGGATTCTCTGATCCAGCAACAGCTGTAGTCCAGCATAACCATGGATGTTCCTGGACGAGAGAGCAGAAGGGACAGCAGCTGGGACCCTGCTGAAGTCCTGCGAGTCTGCTAGCAGCCGGACCGCAGCAGCCTGGGCAGAGCACAATCAGGGCTATCTGCTGCCCAGCAGTGGTTTCAGCCTGGGTACTGGCAGAGGAAGCCTGGCTGGGCTCACGTCAGCCTGGGTACTGGCAGGGCCGTAGCATCCCAGGTGACGATGGCGACAGTGGCAGTGGCAGCATGATTGGCACTGCCTGCCACCCAACAGTAGAGTTGTTGTTGTGGCTGCAGTAGCCTGGGAGGGGAAGCTGGCCGGGGCCTTGGTAACCCCGTAGTGGGGCTGGCCGGGCTGCATCAGACCAATCGGGCAGTGTGCTGTTCAGCAATGGGGCTGCAGCCGTGAGCCACCCAGCCAGCAGTGGACCCAGGGGCTGGGGATGACCAGCAGACAGCCCAGCTGGGATGAAGGAGCTGGCAATGGGGACGGGCAGCAGGGTGAAGGGCTAGTGTCAGGGGACCTCCTGTTGTTTGACAAATTCCCTCATCTGGTCCTGAGGGTGACAGACAAGGGAGGTCCAACCTGTACCAAATATATCTGTAATTTTAAATATATAATGTTTTAATCTCTCTCTCTATAAAAAAAAGTTTTTTCCTGCCACGTGACAGAATGATGTCATCAGCCTGCTTGAAAGTGGAGTCTCCGCATCTTGCTTGCTTGTGCTTCCACCTGAACCAACTGCGAAACTGAGATCTGTCTGTAGATACATCTGTAACATGCAGTACCTGAGCAATAGAACAATTAACAGGTTTTTTCTATACAGCTTTGTTTGTTCACTTTTCTGTATAATCAGTGCAAGATTAACAGGCTCTCTGCCTGCGAAAGCGGCCAGAAGGGGAGAGGGGGTTGACGAGCGTAGAAAGCATGGGGCACAGCCCCATAGTACAAACAGAAAACAAAATGATAAAGTCAAACCTAAATGTTTTGATGTTTTTGAAATGAAATCAGAAAAATAATTTAGTCCAAATCAAGAGGTACCCTGAAACATTCTGATGAAGATGAAACATTTTTCCATTGAGAACTGTTCCCATTGAAAACATTTCAACCAGCTGTACTGCTAACCCATTATTTGTGAAAGCAAGTATTAATATTAGAAACTTAAGTTGGTCTGAACAACATAAAAACATTACATTTAACCAGAACTTGCCTACACCTACAGCTTGAGGTTGTTGACCTAACATAGGCAGAAATGTATAGCCCCTGAAATACTACAACTTTCTTTTTTCCTTTTTTTTCCTTCTTTTTTTCTTTTTCAGTTTCAAACCAAACTATTTCATGTTGTTTATTTTCTTAAAAAATACACTGGTAACCTTTGTACCAAAACTCTCATAAATTATAAGGGCTCTTTAGCTTAGTTTTATGTTATATGCGTCCATTATAAAGCAGCTGTGACCCACCGGCGAATCTTAAGGAACTCACACATAGTCATTTAATCTGTAGCCACTATGTGAAGCAGATGTCAGTGAAGAAGCATGGTTTCCCTTGTAGGCAGTTGGTGGTCTATATGAGGGAGCAGCCCTTATTGTGCTTCTTGGTTGTGGCTGGTAAGGTATGTTGTTCCCAGTCCTCTGGCATGATGTACACAGTAGAGTTCCACCAAGTATAGTCAAAGATGCAGAGAAAAAGCCGAGGTAAAGAGCTTGCCCTATCTCATACTTCATCCCATTGGGAAGCATGGGGTTGTAAAAATCGGTAACCACGTCGTTAGTAGTCCAAGAAACAGGAACAAGACATATGAGACCAGCCAAGATAAAAAAGATTCCACCAGAAATAGCGAGAGAATTTTTGGCAGTGGCCCCTTTGACACACTGCGTGCACTGCATGCCAATGACAGACACCACACAAGCCAGCGTGGAAAGAACACAGGAAATCACCATCATGGCGCGAGCTGCTTGAAGGTCACGAGGCAATGCAAGCTGAGACCGATGGACCTGGCACTGGTAGATACCAGTGCTATGCCAGACACACTCCATCCAGAGCCCTTTCATGTATGCCACTGCTGTTATAATATTGGTACCTACATGTGCCGTCCTCCACCAGTAAGGCAGAATAGTAGCAATTAATGTTCCTATTAAGCCAAAGAGACTTAGTAAGAATCCCAGTAACTGAACAGCCATGCTTGCCATGTTAATGTTTGTCCTGATGGTTCCCTTTAATAATGTATCTCTGGTTGGCTTCCTTCTTAAAACGCAGGCTTTTCCTGGGGGATATGCTGCAGTTTTACTTTGACACCTTCTGGACTCCTAATAAAAGGTAATTGAAGAAAAACAAGTTAAATATTATCTAAATGCATTATTTCTCTAGCCAGTAAGGTGCACTGAAGTGCAATTTGCATAGTTATGGCAATTAATGATATTTTGTGGAAGCTGTGGGAAAGTAAGCTTCCCTCTTCAATTATGTAAACATGTTTCCATGGCCTGCTGAGAGGGGAAAAAAAAGCACAGCAATTTATGAAATTAAAAAAATATTTTAAAATAAAATATTCTTCCCAACAGACTCCTCAAAGAAACATTACTTCCCTTTCTAAAGTAGAAAATTAACAAGTGTTAATGCTTAGAATGAATGAGATTTATAAAGCAGATATCTGAAAGCTACTTTACATGACGAAAACATTCCCAAAAGGTCATAGCAGGATTACAAAAACAATAAGGGTATATTTGCTCAAACTAGGGAGCAGAGAGAGTGATTTAAAATCTGTGGAAGAGGATAACAAGTATGGGATTAAAGTTTCCTTCCCTGGTTGCCGGTATTTCTTGAATTTTTATTTTAATAAAGCAACTCAAAGAGAAACATCTTTCATGGATACTCAGTTTATGACTTCAGTTTGCAGGCTAGATGACAGCATATGAAACCAGATGTGCATTGTGCATCTTCTGAGGAGCGACACTTTGCAATTGTCAGAATAGCTCATAACAAATTTGAATGTAAAATCTTTCTATATTAATAGAGAGTGGAGGAAAGCAGAAGCCAGGCCGGACTACAGGGGCAGGAGCCGTGTAGGCCTCCTGCCAGTGCTGAGGGGTGCCACACAGGTCAGCCCTGGTGGCACTCCCTGGACTGGCCTGTGAAGGGGGGTGAGAGTGGCCCATTGGTGCTGGAAGAGGGCATTGGTGGGGCCACGGGGAGCAGGGCTGCTCCGGTGGTGCCCCTGGGAGGCATGATGGTGGGCCGGCAGGGATTCCCCTCCGACATTGAGGCCAAGTGCCAGGGGGGAGAGAGGCAAGAGTTTGGGGCAGTGGTCCACTTGCCTAGGCTGGTGGCCAGCAAGATGGTGAGGCCTTTTCCCCAGGTGGCCACTGCCTGGTGCAGGTTCCCCCAGTGGTCACTCTGCAGTAAAGCTGTTCCCCACACTCACTGCCCCCTGTGGTGACTGTGCAGTATCGCGTCCCTCTGATCAATCCCCTCCCTTTCCATTTTACAGAAAACAATGGAATTCCTGACACATCCTGTTTCCTGCTACAACCAAACCCTGACCTTGCTTTAAGTTAGGATAAGAGGGAGCTGCCTACCAAATTTGGTGGTCCTAGATGTTACCATTTAGGAGAAATTCTTGAACAAATGGACTCACAAACAGATGCCTCTAAAATATATATATAGTTAACAGAGTGTCAAAAATCAGTGCTCATTTGCATGCCATCCACTCTTGTTAATTAAGCAGGATTACTTGGAATTTGGCTGCACTCAGTTTTGATTTCTGTATGCATATAACACTATAGCACCCACATAGCTTTCTAAACAAAATTAAAAAGTTTCTGTGCACAGAAATTTACAATCTCCATTTGACATTACATGGGACCCTAGAAATCTGTTTGCCATAGAAAAATGTGGATTTTTCATTTTTATAGAGAATCTTTTTACAAATTTTTAAAATATAAAAACATATACAGTAAAACTCTGTTTATCTGAGCAGCCTCTATTAACCTGTTGACATGAGCCATCAATGTGCACACAGGAATATGGCAAATTGATGTCAGCCCTGAGTTGGTAGGGCTCAAACTGTCAGCCTGAGTTTCTCCTGATTATCTGAATTTTTGAGTGGCTGATCTGGCCCTGGTCCCAGTTAGATCTGATAAAGAGGATCCAATGGTACACCAATAAAACATTGTGTTCAACTGATCCCTATGTATATTGTGGCTAAGGAAACTGAAGTTCAGTGTTTCATTTTAAAATGTGGGCTAATGTGGATTTTTATGTTTTTTATAAAAAAACAATAAACAAAAGGCAGGATTAAGTGAGTTAGAAAGCAGAAAAGTTACAACAATAAAGACTGAGACATGGTGGTTGAAGTCTGGGCTGAAGAAGAACTCTGTGGAGAGCTTGTCTCTTTTACCAACAGAGATTTGTTCAATAAAATATATTACTTCACCCATGCCACCTCTTGCATGTCCTGGGGCTGACTCAGCCACAACAACACTGGAAGCAACAATGAAGGTTGTTAGAGAAACTCATTGTTATATATCTTAGCTTATATTAATTTTTTAGTTTATATATTAATACATAGGTTCTTATGAATGGGATTGAGAGTGATATTAGTTGATGTCAGTGGAAAGTTGACTAATGGCTTGAATATAAAAGCAAACCCAAAGAATAGCAAAATGAAAAAAAACAGCTTTCTTTTTGCTTAACTACTTTTAGGAAGATGTTTTACTGTTTGTAACTTCTATTATGGCTATACAACCTTTCAGCTCAATGCGAGCCTCTTTTTAAATGACAAGGGACTGTTTTATATTGTTGCTTGAGCATTCTTGTTTTACAGGTAATGATGAAAGTTACAGCAGTTTATATTAGAAAT